GGTGCATCAGGAGACTTTGCACTGCCCTTCACCTGTCACACCTGTCCCGAGCCCAGAGAGCTCAGACGCTCTCTCCCTTGGCCTCCTCTAGGAACAGAAGCTGGCTCTGAGGGAGTCCCATGCCCACGAGCTCATGCCAGGGCAGCCAGAGTAAGGCAGGTGTCTGTGCGGGGCACCATCCCTCACCCTATCCCAACCAGGAGTGCAAGGAGCAAGCACTTACCACATACGGCTTGTAAGCCGAAATGGAAGAGACCAGAATGACAGCACCACCCCTGTGAGGAGACAGACAGACAGACAGAGCGAGAGGGACATGAGGCTGGCGACTGGCTGGGTGTGGAGGTCAAATAAAGCTTCTCTCACAACGACCAGGCAGGTCCTACTTTTGTCCCCACTGCACAGCTGAGGAAACTGAGATTCAGAGAAGCTCAATGCCACAGCCAGGAAATGGCAAAGCTCAGAGGAAACTCTGTGTCTCCTGGGAGATGCGAGGTGGCATGCACATGGAGCACAGTCCGATTTGCAGCACCTGGCACAGGGCCGGGGCCCCTGCAGACCGAGATGCAGGGAATTGGGAGGCCGGTCAGTGAGGGAGACTGCCTAGCCCTGAGAGACCCGGAGAACAGGTGAGGGTGTGAATGACCAGCCCCCAAGCTGAAGCGTGATGCCCTGCATTCCCCAGTGACTGGTGTCAAGGCCAAGGAGAATGTGCCTGGGCCCTGGGCACATCCCCCTTGTCCTGCAAATACCGACTTCAAAGCAATCCCTGCAGAAGTAGGGCAGAGGGGGTGGGGGTGGGGATGTAGAGAACCTGCAGGGACTTCTGCCCACCACTCCCTCCTGGATGTGCCCCTCTGTCCTTCAGGTACAACCCTGCACCTCAGGCTCCCCACTTCCCATCAGCCCCGCCCCCACCACCAATGCTGCCTGCCCCCCTGAAGAGTCAGTCATACCCCCTCTTCTCCATGTGGGGCAGCAGCTGGCTCAGCAACAGAGCCGGGGCCTTCACATTCACATCCAGGATCTGCAATCGGGGTGGGGCAGGCAGAGAGAGCCGGTCAACTCAGGGCCCGTTCCCACCAGGCCCTTGGAGTCTCACAATATGTGCAACAAGCCAACATGTGTGCAAATGCGAGGGCTCAATCCCCCTTCTGGTTAGAGCAAGTGATTTCACAGGCAGGCCGGCCAAGGCACAGACCTGTCCGTGAGACCCTGAAACTGCCCATTGTTCACAATGGGGTGAAAGAAGGGAATGCTAAGACTTTTTTTTTTT